ACTTACCTCTCAAAATTTTACTGGCTTTCTAACTATGCGACAAAAGCCATTACAAATTCATTCAAGCTAGTTATTAACTTTCCCATGGGAACGATGTTGCTACTCTGAGTGAAATTGACAATTGTCTGTTCAGAACACAATGTTATACAATATGTCATTTGATAAATGAAAACCTTGACTTTCTATTGGTTATAGGTAATATATAATGAAACATAAGAGAGAACTATTAACAAATCTTGATAGAGAGGATGTGACAGGTAGGTGTGGCAGGAGGGTTCTGATTTTCTTTGATGACTCTTTAACCAAACAAAATGGAAGGCTATAAAAATTATGGTCTGTTTGAGCAATAATGATTTTATAGAGAGTATTTTACGTTTAATTTTGTACATTATTCGAGGGGTGATGGATAAAGTAGGAATGGTGACATGTTAAGACAAAATGTGTCATGTGGGAATTCAGGATTTTTTTATATATTTCCTTGTAAAATTAAGAACTTAAAACGTTATACTATTAAAATATGGATTATTAGCTAAGATTTTATGCTATTCTAGTTGGTATAACATAAACCAAAAGTAGTTTAATAAAATTTTGAATATAAGACACTAAAACCTTGTGTCATGCGCAGTAAAGGGTACCTGGAGAGAGTGGGTTAAAAGAGTACATTGCAATAAGCTTGTCAGAGTATCATTATTAAGATGTTGAGGTATTGGTTTACATATATAAATTAAGAATAATGATAAATCAGTTAAGTTCAGTAGTTACCAAGAGAAAAAAACAAAAACTCGTTGTCAGGCAAGAGAGCACACTAGTTGTATGATATTATTATGTATTAAGTAATTATTCAACCATATTGGTAAAAATTACATTAAAGTTACGGATTTTAGTTTATTTACTTTTTAATATAATTTCTTAAAATAAATTTTAGATATGTATGAGATTGAAGCCTTTCTGTGACTTTTTAAAGGTAAAAATGTCTTGTCTTCTTAACTGTTTCAGCATGGGCTCAGTCCCAAGGACCAACTTTGTAACATTTTGTACTTGTTATAGTTGTCATGCTTAACTTTTAAATTAGTAAAGCGTATGTGCACGGAATTTTTCATATTATCCGGAAACATTACAAGGCTTTTGTGTGGGAAAACATCAGATTTTTTATTAAGATTAAAAGTTTCGTAAGTAATATTTTCCTAATGTCTTTTTTTTTTTTCAAATGTTGAGTATCCAACATTCAAAGTAATTTTGATTTTAAGATTAAAAATACTTTTATGCATCAGAACATTTTCAAATTTCACGTGCAAAATCTTTATTACCTCCAGATAATTATCAAACCTTTTTTTAGAAAACACTATCTTTTATCTGTTATTTTCACTACTGTTTCTCTGTACAGGTTGGGTCAATTTGCCTGACCTCGTAACCACCATAAAAAATTAGGAAATGTATATAAATTATGCTTTTTTCATTTTAGAATGACTACAAATTATAACTCAAACACAAATGTTTAGTCTAAATAGCTTAAATCTCATAACATTATACATCAATATATATTAGCATTGACCTTTCAGCCATGCCTGGCTAACAATACAGAAGTTGCAATGACGCGGCACACATTCGCTCATGTTACTGTATCCAAGAGTATAGAACTGGCCTTTACAAGTAACCTGTCTTGGCTGTGTTTCAGTGGACTAGTATTTTGTAAAATACAGTCATATTTGAGTTATAATACATTTTATATGTATATACATTATTACTATTTACAAATAAGATCTTAAACTTATTTTTTTCTAAACATTGAACAGTAAATGAAGAAGTATAGCAAACTATTATGTCTTCTAGTTATGAACTTTGTACTTGTTTGCTGCTTGCCCTAAGTTGCTAAGCCGTATCAAATTTTGCATGTGGAGGATGAAAAACGATTTTTTTATAGGTTTTATGTATACATTTTGAAATTTCCAAAAGTCATAAATTACTATATCAATGCCACTGGATTCCACTATAATTTATCAAGCTTAGTAACTAAGCTGTATTTGGGTCCAAAATATATGAAATTTTGAGCTCACTAATGTCTTACCTTACTACTTGGAGTCTAGCATGAAAAGAAAGAGTTTGTTGTGCAAATACTTTGCAGAGGCTGAGAAAACCACTATAGAAACAGTTTGAGCTTTCAATTGGTTATACACACATCATTGGGTGAAGTAGGTGTACATAAGCAGGTATTTTCATAAATTGAAGAGGTGGGTGGGGCCACTTTGGATCATTCAATAAATATATTAATATCTCAGAAAATAGAAAAGATAGGAGGTTCTTATTTTACATTCTAGCTTATCAATAATTTGAGTTTCGAATTTGTAAGAAACTATAGACTTTGTATTTGGACATGACAAATATCTGCTGCATTGAACATACCACATGACACACAAAAATCAATATTTAGGATTTATGTTTTATATTTACTTTTAAATTAAGAAATTAACTAATGTATAATACTAAAATTTGAATTATAGTCTAGAATTTGATACCAAACTTATTAACATACATTTATAAGATAGTAGTTCAATAAAATTTTGAATGCCAGTCAACAAACACTATGACATTGCCTTTGACCCATGTCAGTAGGGTTAAGAAAATACAAACCTTCTGAGCTTAAGACCTGTATGTAAGTTTCAGAAGCACTTTCTGTGGAAGAAGGAGAATCATATTTACGTGTCTGTGGACTTACAACGCTAAAATTCAGGTTTCGTTACCTGTGGTGGGCAGAGCACAGATAGCCCATTGTGTAGCTTTGTGCTTAATTATAAACAAACATATTTACGTATAAATGTTCAGCCTAAAAAAATTCCCAAAAATTAAACATTTTTATTCAAAAACTGGTTATTTCACTCAAACTAGCTGTCATCATATTGTATGCATGATCTTAGACCAATTAATCTCTAGCATTATTTGGACTATTATAGTACTGTACTTTCCATTTACTTTGCTTGTGCATGCCTTGTTAAAGTAAACTGAGAGAATTCATGTGAAAATGCACAGTTAGATAAAGTGTAGGCTACAATTGGCAAGAAGAAAAGCAGCAAAGTGAAACAAGTTTATTATTTTATGGGATCATGTAAATGCCATAAATTATTACAGTGATTAAAATGACTTTGGGACATTCATTGACATTGGGTGGACTGGACTTTTGTTGCATACTATGCTGCAACAACTGTCGAAATAAGTCAGTTTCCATAAGCCATGTATTTTCAAAATACAAAAATTACAATCAGGACCTAAGCTTATTAAAAAGTTTTGAATTTATCATTTGCTTGAACCTTCAAACCAAAATATATTTAGTCAAAATTGTATACTGAGTTGTGGACTCATACATTCATGATCTGGGGTCCAAACATTTTATAAGTTGAAAATAGTTAAATGATTACTTCAGAAACACATGAAAAAATCCTTATGACAAGAAGATTTAGTTCTACACTGATGGCAAATTGTGGTTTAGGGGATTATTATGAAATATCTTGATCATCAGATTTCCATAAACAAAATATGAAAAGGTAATGCTTGAAATCTAAAACAAAATGGGCGTTATTCCTGGACTTTGTACTATGCAACATATTCACATACCCTACACATCACATTTCCATTGTGGTCAAGGCAAACAAATATCTTGTACGTCTACTGTAACATGGATGCTATCACCTCTGCCTGAACAAAAGTGACTCTTATAATCACTATGTGTCACTCCTCTTCTTATTTTTGCACATATCCTTCCTCAAACTTTTTGTGTGCTTTCAGTGACTTGTAAGCACATATTCTTTCTTTCTCAAAGGTTTTGCTCCTGCTCAAAGTCAGATACAATTTCAATTTCCCTGTGTCAAAATCTAGGTGTGTGGTTAAATTTCTATTTTTCAAAACAGAGCACAAAAAATATTCTTTTTGTAATGATGTGGTGCAATTTTTTATTATTGATCACAACTTATTCATATATTGAAGTAAATGTGGAATGACCCCCCCCTTCCCCCAGTTTTGTCAAATCT